GAGCACTTGCGAATTGTTTAGAGGATTTTGGAGGCTAACTCATTCTACATCAAACCGTCCAAGTGCTCGTTTGCTCAAGAAGTGGTCGAGTACCTCGGGCACTTTATTTCTCATGATGGCGTTAAGGTGGATCCAAGGAAAATCGAGGCGATGGTGGGATGGCCGAAACCCACGAGCTTGACGCAGTTGCGAGGGTTCCATGGTCTCACGGGCTATTATCGAAAATTCGTGAAGGACTATGGGACCATCGCAAAGCCACTTACGGAGATGACGAAGAAGGGAGCATTCAAGTGGACGGAGGCGAGCGAAAAGGCTTTCGAGGAACTAAAGAAGGCCATGACGACTGCACCCTTGCTCGCGATGCCGAGGTTTGATGTGTTGTTCGAGATTCACTCAGATGCGAGCGACATTGGAATCGGAGCGGTTCTAGTACAGGAAGGACGACCCTTGGCTTATCTCAGCAAGGGTCTCGGGCCGGCGCGCTTAGGGTTGTCCGCATACGTAAAAGAGATGCTAGCCGTGGTCGAGGTCGTGCGCGTATGGAGGCCGTACTTGCCTGGGCGACGCTTTCGGATTGTCACGGACCAGCAGCCGCTCAAGCACTTGCTCGAGCAAAGGATCGTGACGCCTGAGCAGCAGAAGTTCGTATCCAAATTGATGGGGTTCGACTTCGAGATAGTGTATCGGCCCGGTCGCCAGAACACCGTGGCCGACGCATTGTCTCGACGGGAGGATGTGGCCGAGCTCGACGCCGTGACGGGGCCGACGTGGGCCGTTTGGGCCGAGCTTCGGAAAGCGCAAGACGAGGATTCACATTGCCGAGACGTGATCGAGAAGCTGAACGTAGGACACGACGAGGACGAGGACCATGACATGCACGATGGCTTGCTCCTTTATCATGGTCGAGTCGTCGTGCCCGATGCGGGATCGTTGCGCGAGGAGATCATCCAACACTTCCACGACTCAAAGTTTGGAGGACATTCTGGGGTGTTCCGGACATGGATGAGGATTGCGAGCACTTTTTATTGGCCAGGGCTGAGGGGCGATGTGCGCGACTACGTTGGGCGATGTGATGAGTGCCAACGCACTAAGACGGACGCACGTCGACCAGGCGGGCTGCTCTAACCTTTGCCAGTCCCCGCACGTATTTGGGAGGACATCACCATGGATTTTATCGAGGGGTTGCCGCTCTCGAATGGGTTCAATGGAGTCATGGTGGTAGTCGACCGTCTTACCAAGTATGCACATTTTATTCCACTTACTCATCCATACACGGCAAAGTCTATAGCAAACTTATTTGTCGAATATGTGATGAAATTGCATGGGGTGCCGCGGTCAATTGTGTCCGACCGAGATCGGATATTTATGATTAGCTTTTGGTCGGAGTTCTTTAAATTGCAGGGAACCAAGCTAAGCATGAGCTCAGCTTATCATCCACAAACCGACGGACAGACAGCGGTGACCAATCGCACGCTCGAGCAGTACCTTAGGTGCTATGTGCATCAGTTTCCAAAGCGATGGGAGAATTATTTACCTTGGGCCGAGTATTGGTATAACACCACTTACCACTAAGGCAACGCCGTTCGAGTTGGTGTACGGGCGCAAACCACCGACGATCGTGAGTTACTCGATGGGGAGCGCCGTGAACGATGAGGTCGATCGAGAGTTGGTCGAGCGTGCCTTGATGTTGCGAGAGCTAAAGCGGACGTTGGAGGGCTCGATCAATAGGATGAAGGCGTACCATGATGGCAAGCGGCGCGACGTAGAGTTTGAGCCCGGGAATTGGGTATACTTGAAGTTGAGGCCGTTTCGGCAAAGGACGGCTGCGCAAAGGGCCGCGACCAAACTCGGAGTTCGATATGGCCTTATAAAATTTTGGCCAAGGTTGGGAAGGTTGCTTATCGACTTGAGTTGCCGGACGATTCCCATATCCATCCGGTCATACACGTCTCACAACTCAAGCAACGACTCGGCGAGACGCATACGGCAAAGGATCGACTACCCGCGGTCGCGCCAGACGGGGAGGTTATGGTGCGGCCAAGCCGCGCGATGGAGTACCGACTAGTCAAAAAGGCTGGAAAATATTTTTGGGAGGTGCTCGTCGAATGGGAGGACTTGCCGAGTGAGGAAGCGACATGGCAAAGTTGGGACGAGATGCGCGAATTGTTCCCCGATTTTTTCCTTGAGGACAAGGAAGCACTTGAAGGGGACGGGAATGATGCGGACACGGCGAGAAGGCTCAAGAATGCAGCGAGTCGCGCGTGGCATGTGCGAAGGAGGCTAAGTCGTCGTGTCGGAGAGGTGCGATACGCGGATGGACAAGCGCGCGCGGAAGATGACGCGCTCGATATTATCGGGGCCGAGCGCGGGGCTGAATGCGCAGGCGACGGGGTGCACGCGCGAACTTGCCTAGGCGCGCGAGGATTAGGCGAGCTGCTGAACGCATGCGCAGGAATGGAAGATGAAGCCCTATTCCTTGAGCGATTAGGCAACGCTGACGCGGGCAAGGCGGTTTGGGGCGCAAGCAAGAAATAAATTAAATAGCTTGAATAATATTTTATTTCCTTGTTTTCTAGTTTGTTTAGGATACTTAATATTTTATTGCTTTATTATAGTTATAGTTATATTAGGACTAGATCTAGTTGATGCCTATATAAAGGCCCTTCCTCTTGTTAATTTAAAAAATCAGAAATCAATACAAAAATCCGAACTTTTGTTCAAACTCTTTGCTTCAGTTTTCTTCTTGAATTCTTTTGCAACTTTATTCGTTTTAAAGGCTGCGAGTGTGCGACTTCCTAACACCTATCGAACGATTTAAGGCGCGGGAGCGGCTTGTCGGCAATCGAGACATTGGAATATTTTAGTCAGATTACCAGAGATCATCACAAGAAGATACCACAAATAATTTATAAGAAAAAATTTTAAATTTTGCCTAATAACATCGAAATCTCAATTCCACCTCCACGTGTATATTAATACAAACATCGTCGTACAAAATAATCAAAGAAAATGAAAAAAAAAAAAATACATACACTGAGCTAAACGAAGCAATCAAAAGCAGCATAGATCAAATTCAACTTTCACAAGATGATGTTAGCATTCTTCTTCAGACAACAAATTGAACAAAAAAAAAGGCGCGTGCGAATATAACACCATGTTTCAGAAAATGAAAATGATGTTTTAATTTTCTCGACAATTCAGATTTATTTTTATACTTGTGATTGTGAGAGTGAATTTTTTATGATTGACATGATGTCGTGAAAGGTCACTATGCTTGACATTTTCCTATGAATGCATTTGTTAATTAACTTAAACTTTGCAGAATTAATTTCAAAATAATGGGATACATTATAGAAAATTTATTTTTAATTGGATAGTAATAACAAATAACGAAAAATTAATATATTGAAATATAAATAATATATGGCTCTAAATAGTAAATACATCACATCAATTAGCGTCAACCATAAATACAGTAACTCATAAATCAATACTATAAATCATATATATATGGCTCTAAATACACCACATCAATTGCCGGAAGTATCTATTTATTTGGAAACAAAGACTTGTCGAACCAACGAAAAACACAGTACAGTTAAAAATACAGACCACCACCTACCGGCTCGATTTCG